ATTCTGCTTTCCTGTTAGATCTGGCGGCGGCCACGGCCCGGTTGAGTGATCAAAGCTCCTTGAACCTCGGGCTGCGTTGTGCTCACCCGCACGTTTCATCTCTGCGAATATTCTAGAATGGAAGCCGGCTGGATGTACTACTAGGAGTAGATGGCTCTCTTAACCGTGTTTTCGAGTCAGCCATGGGTGGATGGATGGACAAGCCGAAGGGGAAATCAACGTCAGAAAAAGAGAGGCAGAGTGGGGATCTGGGGTCGGACAAGGACAAGGACGCCTGGGGCAAAACACGACACGAGGCAAACGACAAGACACCTGGTTTTAGCATGGCGTTTGGTGCAAAAGCATGTCTGCCTAATCGAGGCCCATCCGATACGCTGAAGAGAGATGGAAGAGCGATGGAAGAGCCTGGTCGAGTCTGTGCGTAATATGTAATGTTTTAGCCTAAAAAGGTTGCTGAACTCCATGTCTGCAACGACTTGGAGACACCAGACCACGCTGCTGTAGATTTATTAGAGCATGGAACCCTGCTGGGCCCCTGGAGCTGGAGCCGGAGCTGGAGCTGGAGCTGGAGCTAGCACTTGACTTGTTTCCAGCTGGCTGTTTTAGGCCAAGGCTAGCACTCATCTGGTTGAACCGTCTGGTCCGGTGGAAGCCGCAGCCCACATGGGCACGGCGAGGCAGGGCAACATCAATTGATGTCAACTACGTAGTACTCCGTACTAAGTAGTATTATGCATACTTGACGTCTAGGACTGGGTAAGAGCAGAGCGCCATTCGATGCTGCTCCTCGACACTGGCACTGGGCTGATTCCCCCTCCCCCTCGCCGCTCCATGCAGCCAGGACCCCGGATTGCCAGGCTGCATGTGGCAGGCGGCCAGCTTCCCCGATTCCCCATACCGAGTACGACAAGAACTCGTCGGCCGTCTGTCTGATCTGCTTGCGGCTCCATCTCTCTACATTTGCAACGACATCATACCGCGCTTTTTTGTTCATGCACTTCTTGCTGGCGGTTGCTGACAGTATACGCATGCGCCATGGCCAAGAAGGCCCGCCAGAGAATCAGCTATGGTACGTGCCTGAGCCTTGAGTATCAGTTGCCGCTCGGCCATCCATAATAAATCCCAATGGCTTTTGTTGTGTTGGGGCAAGTCACGACAATGGCATGACAGGCTTGCCCCGCACGCGAGCTTCTCCCTCATCGTCCAAGACATTTGTGCTGCCCGCAGAATAAATGTCTGTCGATTCAAACGCTGACTGCGATTCCTCGTCCCGCGTACAGTTCTCGAGAATGCCAAATCGTCCGAGGGTGGCCATCGTTTGGGCGTAAATGGCCTTGCTGTCGATACGGACAATGGCATCCTGTAAGCTCTCGTGCCTGACCGCATACATGCTCAACCGTTGGCCGTTCCACTGACTCGAGGCATAAATATACTTGATGTAGCTACTCTGGTGGACGAGATGGCATCGTCTGCGCCTGGGACCTCGACCTCGACCTGAGACGACCCTCTACCGACACCCATGATTCGGCAGACAAGACTCGGTCCCGAAGCAAATTCCGCGCCCAAGCACAGCCTCACACACATTGGATAAACGACATTACCCTGGCGCAGAACAACACTGCCTTGGTCTCAGCGTCGTCAGATCTTACTGTCAAGGTATGGCGACCACACTCAGAGGAGGACTGCACGCGCACAGTCGCAATCGGAGAGCACGCCGATTACGTGAAATGTGTCGCCACGCCTCCCGCCAGCATCAATGCCAACTGGGTTGCTTCGGGTGGTTTGGATCGCAAAATTTGCCTCTGGGATCTCAACGGAGCCGGAAAGACGCTCGAGGTTGACGTCAAGGGTGAGGAGATACTCGAGAAGGGATCTGTGTACGCCCTCGCAGTAAGTCGTGACATTATGGCCAGCGGCGGACCCGAGAAGACGATTCGACTCTACGATCCTCGAACCGGCGACAAGGTCTCCAAATTGGTTGGCCACTTGGACAACATTAGATCCATTTTAATTGACGACTCTGGTGACATCATCCTGAGTGCCAGTGCCGACAAGACAATCAAGATGTGGAGTGTCAAGGGCGGTCGCTGCATGTACACTTTTACAATGCACGACGAAAGCATTTGGTCCCTGTTCTCCGAGGACCCAAGTCTGGGCATATTTTACAGCAGTGATCGGTCTGGCCTTGTAGCCAAGACTGATGTTCGAGGCAGCATGGAAGATTTGGATAACGGGCTGAGTTTGGCGGTTGCACAGGAGCACTGTGGCGTGTCCAAGGTTGTCGCCGCCGGCGGTCACATTTGGACCGCTACAAACCGGTCTTCAGTCAATCGTTGGGGAGATGTAGATACCGACACAGACGCCTGCTTACCGGAGCCATTCCGTCATCAGAGGGCTGCCTCGGCCGCGTCCAACAAGCTTCGACAAGCTACAGTAACTAGTACTCAGGCGACAAGCAACAAGGAAATCCCGTCCGAGTCTATTCTCCGTATTTCCAACACTGCTGTGTTCCCTGCCCGCGGTGTCGTCGATGCCGAGCCCAACAACTTGAATGAGTCGTTGACTAGGCGTGGATCCGAAGTCGTGGTAGAGCAACCAGATCCGGAAGTAAAGCCAATTCATCAAACACCAGAAGAGACCATCGAAGGCCAGTTTGGGCTTTTGAAACACAAGATTCTCAATGATAGGAGAAGGGTGTTGACGTTGGATACTGCCGGTGATGTCCTGCTTTGGGATCTCCTTGCTGTAAGTTTTATATCGTCAAGCTGACGGCACGATCCACCACGTTTTCTAACAGGTTGCTCTTGCAGTGCAAGCCAGTCCAGAGCTTCGGCAAACAGCATCTGGAAGATGTCGAGGCCTTGGTCAACACTCGTGAAGCTGTGGCGCCATGGTGCTCAGTGGACTTGAGCTCTGGCAATCTTACAGTTGTGCTGGAACCTTTCAACTGCTTCGATGCCGAGATATACGCCGACGAGTTGAAGTTAGACGAGCCTGTAGAGTTCAGGGAAGACCAAAGAAGTATGAAAAGCCAATACTAGCAGTTTGGGTGTCTCTTCTCGAGCTAACGTGCTCTGCAGTCAGCCTTGGAAGGTGGATCTTGAGATATCTCTTCTCAAATCTGATTGACGAAGAAATCAAGCGCGACGAAAGATACCGGCAGAAATTAAACGAAGAGGTCTCCAGGAACCAAGCCGCCAGTCGAGCCAATGCACCTACGTCGATTGATATTCCTCCGTCAAATGTCTCGAATTGGGACAAGCCCGATCAACTTGCCACGCCTCGAGCTAACGGCTCACAACTACACCAGGGCACTCCTGGCTTGGCAATTGGCCTTGCAACTCCTGCGCCTGGAGCCGCACTTCCTGGCGTACCTGAAGAGGTGGTATCTAGCCCTTTAAGCCCTACCGAAAAGGGAAATACCGCAGATAAAGACGATTACTTTGCTGGCGGTAGCGCTGTTGGGCCCGGTGCTCCAGCGACAGAGTCATCGGAAATGAAGACTTCGACGGATAATGGCAATGAGAAGGGCAAGGATAAGGCGAGTGACACAGCCAAGTCACCCGGCAGCACCTTTGGGAAGAAGTTCCGAATATCCTTCAGCAGCAAGAAACTAGGGCGATCATCTTCCCAGGCGACGCAAGATAAGCCCGTGGTAGTTGACGAAAAGGCCGAGGAGTCAGAATCATCTTCCACAAATGAAAAGGAAGTGGACGATAGCTTTTGGGGGGTTATCCAGAAGATCCGCAACGATTACGATAAGCAGCTTGCCGACGCTCCGGAGAAACTTATCGAAACTAGAGTAACGCCCAGTCTTCCTAGTGAGACCCCTGTGCTAAAGCTCCCGCCGGGAACCAAGATCATTATCCAAGAGGAGACGTCTGGTGGTAGCGCCAATGTGTATCAAGGGACGGTCGAAAATGTTGGCAAGGACGCTGACATTATTGAACAGAAAGCTCCAATGTGGCTCGGGGACGTGTTACTGCAAAATCTCGTCCCATTCAAGGAGCCTGTCAAAATTTCATTTGTTCTTCATCCCATGGGGGGCTTGATCGCTCTGTCCCCGGCAGATGGAAATAACAGATTAAACGCCAACAGAATGTTGCGTGTCAAGAAGATCTTGGCTTACGTTGCCGAAAGGATTGAGGAAGTGCCCGAGGAACCACAACCTAATGCTCTGCCTCCTGAAAAATATTTGGAACTGTATTGTAATGATCAGGTGAGTTCTTGTATCCTACTGACAGTAAAATGGGTGTGGCTTCAACTAACGACTTCTTCTCGCAGCTCCTTGACCCGCTGATGAGCCTTGCAACGATCCGTACGCATGTGTGGAAGAGCGGTAACGACGTCGTCTTGTACTACAAGGCCAACGGACGCAAGGAGATTATACCGCCCAGGCCTGCATCATCAATAATCCCTGCAGATACGCCCGGGGCCCCGAGTCCCATGGGTGCGCCAACAGCAGCATCTGAATCTACTACTTCTACAACGACAGCAGTGACATAAAGAAACGGCCGTCGAGATGGAGATATTTTTGGTTGTCGGGTGAGAAAGACTTGGCGATAACGTTCAAACGACCGGCACACCCCCTTGATTGTTTTGGCCTCCTTCTAAAGTTTAATTAACCATGCACTTGGAGCACAAGACACATCATTTTTAGCCACATTTCCAGGTTTATGTGTAAGCGGCAATGGCAATACCCTCAGCGCCATACCGTGTTTTTGTCCGCTCTCTTCATAATTTATGTCGGGCTTTTATCATACAAAGCGTGGCCCAGCTGCAGGGCTATAGAGCGAGTAGTGCAGCTTAGACTAGCCAGCAACAAAGAATAAAGTAGTCTATACATCTAAATGCTCTCTCCATCTTTTCCACTTGCCGCATATCGTACAGCGTAAACCCCCTGCATGTTGTGTAGAAGCAGTCTCTCCTGTCCCTGTTGACTGTTGAACAAGCAAGCCAACCAGGCGGAGGAAGAGAGTATGTGTTTGTAGATTGTCGTGTCATGAAATGGTCCTCATGGTATTGATAGCCCACTGGTAGCTTCCCAGGAAAATGGCACCGCCAATAGAAATCCAAGTCACTCTGGGCGCAATGCCGGCAAAGAACGGCCGAAGACCCTCTTGCTTGACCATGGTCCCAAACACCTCTGCCACGGAGACCCTGTCCTTGGACAACATGACCCTCGTCTTCAACACGTCCAGGGGCGTCGTAGCCGCGGCCGAAATACCGCCGGCGACGCTGCCGAAGACGGCGCTCTCGGCAGCGGCCACGTCCTCGCCGGCCCTCCTCCCCTTCCTGCGCCACGACTTCATGGCCTCCCACAGCGGGAACTGTATAACGGTAAACGGCACCTCCCGGAAGACGGTGATGCCCCAGCCCCGGTACAGCTCCCTCCACACGGCGCCGAGCCCGCGCGCCGAGCGCTGCGACAGGATGGCGGCCAGCGCGGCCCTCGACGAGCCGCCGTGCATCCCTGCCTGCGCCCGCTGCTTGACCACCTCTGTCGGCACGCGGACCGCGCACGCGGCCACCTCGCCCAGGCTCGCGGCCACCATGTGCGCGACGGCGTCGGGCACCGCCGCGCGCGCCCTGAGGAACCCCTTGGCCGTCTCGTACGTGCAGAAGAAGAAGGCCGCGCCGGGCGCGGACCCGACCACCGCCGAGCCTATCCCGCGGTATATTCCGGAGAAGCCGCCCGAGGGGAAGAAGCCGGCCGACGACTGGAGCCGGGTTTTCAGCGTGTCGAGCGGGAAGAGCGAGAGGTCGACTGTCGTCCCGGCGAGGGCGCCTGCCAACAGGGCGGACTGGAAGGGTGGCGGATTGGACATGATTTCTTTGTTTTCTCTTGGGGTGTTGCAATCGTAGGGTCAAGTTGGTGGGGTAGTAGGGAGGATTGGAGAACAGGCCGAAGCCTGAGTTCTCTCTCTTTTGTCCTTGTTTTTTTGTTTTCTAAAAAAAAGGGCGAGGTGGTTCGTCGAGGATATCTTTTGAGCACGAGGCCAATTGAGCTACTACTAGCTTCTCAGCAGCCGAAAATGACGGCCCTTATCGATAGCGGATTGCGCCTGGCTCCGAGGTTCGGAGCCGAGACGCAGATACCCTGGACCGCAAGTAACCGTTTATATGCACATAGTTAACACTTTGCAACAAAGAGTACTGGGTGGTTTATTCATTTTCCGGTCAGTTTATTATTTTATTCAGAATGACAGATGGGGGTGGTGAATCGAGATGCAAGCTCCAACTTTCAATTTTTGCTGGCGTATAGACGTGCAGATTGGGACACCAAATACGACAAGTATATACATACACACAGCCCAAGAAACCCCCGTCAACCTCACACCAAGGTGCCCGAACCGCGACAAGCCCACCTACATGCCATCGCGCACGCTGGTCCCCGACCTGGACGACTCCTCGGCAGACCTCTTCGTGCGCTCCTGCAGCCCGGAAATGTCCTCGCGCCCCGACGACGCCCGGTCCGCCTTGACGGCCTCCTCGCTGTCAGACGCGAGCTCGGGCTTCCAGTGGCCAGCGCCCTTCTTCTGCTTGGCCAGCGAGTCTCGCTTGTGCCTGTCGTAGTCGGCGTCTGTCTCTACACGGGGCGCGCACGCGGTTAGCAAAAAGATTTCTTCACATGATATACGCACACATCGGCGGAGCAAGCACATACGGCTGGACGACTCCTTCAGACCAAGTCGAGTGCTCGTCGAGATGCTGAACCCCCGTCCGACGACACACGTACTCCTGCTGGCGGCCCTCATGGCACCGAGGCCAGCGGCGCTTCGTGCTGACATCATAGTGAAGGGGTATCGAACGACTCGGGTAAATGGAAGTAGTAGCTGGCGTCAGTTGTTGTCGCCTGGTTCGAAATGGGCTGGTACAGACAACAAAGGGGGAAAAGAAAAAGATGTCCTGAGCGAGACCAAGGGCGTGTTTAAGGGATTAGAAACAACCTGCGCCTATTAGAGAATGCTCAACTGCTAAATACCGAGCTTTCCCTACATCATCGTCGATGGGTTGGCTCGATCCAACTTCATGTGGAGAGACACTGACAGACTCTTGACGTCACCATTGCGATGCATCTCGGGACCGACGCCAATCCATGGCTGCCCCGTCTCCTTCCAGCCATCATTATCGAAATGGACGGCTTAGCTTGCATATCTTGACTGCCCATAATATCGAGTGGCCCAACATTGACCTCGCCAACAGCACCTCGCCGGCCATTGGCATCGACGTGTTGGACCAACCCTATACTGGCTGGGGAATTGGCATTCGAGTTCCAATTGCATCTGCCACGCCGTCAAGTCCAGCATCCGATATCTACATCACACAGCAGCACACAAGAGACACACCCATGGCTTTCTTGAACGTATCGTATATTCTCATCGCAGCAGGCCATGCAGGCCGCGGTATCGCAACCTCAGTAATAATAGTGTAAAACCATAAAACCACCGTATCCAGGAAAACATGCTCGCAACAACCAGCCCAAGTATCAGATCCCAGCATATTTGCAACACCAGGGCACGACGGCCCAAGAAATCCCAAAGAATCCGACCCGCAAAACCAGGTAATGTCGTAGCTGAGCCACCCCTAAAAACAACACCCATATGCTTTGCAAAATAACAACCATGGCCCATCCCAGTGAACACAAGAACTAGCTCCGATATGCCAAAATGGAGCCGCTTTCTCTTTCAAAAAACACGCCCGTCTTGTAAACCCAACGTGTCGTACAATAAAACAGAAAAACAGGCAAGCCTCTTTCGTCATTCAGTTGCACATTCGGCATCTTTCCAACAAACCCTGCACGGCTATCAAGTGAATCAAGAAAAAAAGGAACCAACTCCCCGTAAGTAAATCCAGAAGAGCCCTAACCCCATATGAACAATGGCAATGCGCGCAAAAGACACACTAGACCGCTAAATCTTTGCCAACCACTACTCGCCGAAACCCATACCCATATTTGATTTTCAACCGAGAACACAAGTCGTTTGCCCCAACGCTTTCATTGTACAGAAAGCCCCTTTCTATATCTTCTTTTGAGAAAAATTTCCCTTGATGAATTCATAACCCATGACTGTAAAAGTAGGGCAATAAAACATTTGAGTTAGAATAGAACAGTTCGTCATCGCACACGCTCCAATAATAAAAGGATGAAAATATGCCGGAAAAAGTCGTGAGGTTTTTTTTATAAAAAAAAGTTGCCAACTCCACTGTCGGTCTCCATGCAGCAGAATTCCAAATGATATAATGAGAATGCAAACGCCCAGCTGGTGCGGATTGGCCTCATCTTGCGAGACGAACACCTGCTAAGTGTGTGTATTGAAACGGAAGACAAAAGGGCGAAAAAAATGGTATCGCTTTGCAAAACCGAGCCGAATTCGAGTCCCTCGCGGATATATGTCGATGAAAAGGTGGTGGTTTATGTCGATTAATTAAGCTCTTGTACATGTTGTATAGAGGTGTGAAGCTGCGAGGAACCCAGCAGTCGAGCCAGGCCACAGTGAATACATCTATCCCCGAGGAACCTACCCCGCCAGGAAGAAAACGGTACCGGTCATCTTCGACAATTTGTTTTCGTAGAGGTGGCCGCCAAGATGAACAGTCTACTGAAAGAAAACATGAATTGAAGCGTCATCTTAAAATACAGTGCATGGAGAACAGCGGTAGGGTCGTGGGTCCGGCAACGCATCCATCAAGGGCACGTGACGCGAACCCCATCATTCTACCACCGTCGGCCAAGGGACTGCTGCATCGCGGCGGGCGATACTGACGGGGACGGGCTAGACATGGTGATGCCAGTAGCTGGATTGATGATGGGGATGGCGTTGCGGCCGCGGGTGGCCGAGGGCTGGTGTATTTTAAGGTTCGAATGCTGAGTCTGAAAGCTAGGAGGGATGAAGGCGGCCGATGTCGAGTTCAGAGAAAAGCCAGGCGCAACGGTTTGCGGCTGTTGCGTTGGTGAAGATTCGGGAGAATTGCTGGCTAGCGACGATCGCTCAGAAGCACTCGAAATGGAGACCAGCTGTCAAGGGATGGAAGAGTCAGACTCTGCAAGCATGCCAAAAACCTGGAAGGGGAAAGCCGCTTGCACTGGAGGAATATGAAGGCCACGCTATTACTTCTGCCTCTACTTACATCAGTCTCGGTCAGGAGGTTGGGGCAAAACTCAAGGTCATCCTCGAGCTCGAAGGAGCGGCCAGCTTCGAACTTCATACGAAAGGCAGAGAGGGCAGCAGACTCGTTCAGATCCTTCATGCTGCGAGCGCCTCGGAACTGCCTCTGAGCGTTCTGTGAAACGGACAAGCGAGGGGCTCTGCGATTGCGGTGGCCGCCGTGGTTGTGCGACATGGGCGCGCCGTGAACCGCCTGCGTATTGTAGTGGTAGTATGAAGCCATGATAGATATCTTTGTCTGTTTTCCCTGTATGACAAAATGGCGAATCGTCGGTGTCTATGAAAGTATATGTCTCCAGCCGCAAATGTATTGCGTTGTGATTGGGGGTGCTGCAGCTCCGGTAGTATGCACGTTGGTTTGTTGTGGGTGTGAGAAGCTGACAGCAATTGTCGGAGGATTAATATCGAGTAGCTACAGATGGACCGCACGAGGCTATCAAATCGTACGAGGAGAGTCTTGAAGAGGTCTAGGAAAGACAGCGACGTGAAGAATGTATAGGACAAAGAAGAAAGGGGGGAGTAGGATGAAGGTAGAGAGAGGGAGTTGAGATGAAAGGTTCGAGATTGTGTGTGCGTGCGTGCGTTGTATGTAGGTGTGTGTGGGTGAGGAGGAAGAGAGAGGGAATGGGAAGCGGGCAGATGGTAAGGCGAGGAACAGACAGGTCAGGACAAGATTGCACCTGGACGCAGGCAACTGGGAGCGGTCGAAGGCGGGTGGGTGGTGGGCAGGTGCGGACGCAGGCGCTGGTGGAAGTTGCAGGTCGGAACCGGGCCCAGCGAGCAGGAGCGCCTCGAACGACGGGACTTTGTTGGTTGGGGACCAGAAAAGGTGGGGATATATGGGTCCCAGTGAGCCTGTGTTGATGAGGGCGGCGAATAGGAGCACGAGGGGGCTGGTGGGTACCCACCCCACAGTACTTTGCCACTACAGCAGGCATTCCGAAGTGATTGGGCAGGCTGGCAGGCCCGCTAGACTTGATATGGCATGGAGCAAGCGCCAGTGCTTGCCAGTGCTCGCCGGTGCTGTCGTTTACGGGCGGGGGCCGTCCGTTAGACCCGCTAAACATACAGTGTCTGACAAGCTTGTCGCACGCGGGGCCCACAGAACCCTTGCCCGCGCCGGTTTTTGTGTGGCCGAGCTTGGTTGAGGCAGAGGCTCAGAGGCTCCTCTGGCGATCCATTGACGCCTGGGCTTCCACTTCCCACGCTCCGACGCTCCATCGTGCTGCACTGGGCTGTCTAGGCTGCATGCCTTCAGGGTTCTTCAAGCCGCTGGGCACTTGACTGGTCTTGGTGGCTTCAGGGACTCGCGATGCAATGCAGAGCCGATCAATTGATCCCGAAGCGGCCTGCTCCCACACACCTTGTCCTCACCCTCCCTCCTGAACCCGCTTGCCTCCCTCCCTGCCTCTCTTCCGACCGCGCCGTAGCCGCCTTTGTCGCGGGTTTCCTTTGGCTGTTGGAACGGCATACTAGTACTTCGGCCGCGGCAGATACTTGCGCCAGGGTGGCGGCGGACAGCTCAAGGCGGGTAGCGGCGCATCATTCGTGACAAGAAGGAGCTGAAGGCGCACCCCGAGGTAGCTTTGCACTGCCCGGCGCCTGCGATGATGCCGTCAAGTCACCCTCAGTCCCTCACTGATCAATTGCATCGCCGC